TACATATAATGTTACCCCACTGGAGCCAGAAGTCATTATGACTTACAAAGGCCAATTTTTAGACAAATCCGTGGAAAAATGTGTCAATAATCATCAAATTATCGAATATCGGGAGGTACCGTTATATGGGGGCTACATGAAAACGTGGACCTATACATAAAATGATACCCCACTGGAGCCAGCATCCATTATGACTTACAAAGGTCAATTTTTAGACAAATCCGTGGAAAAATGTGGTAAAAATCACCAAAATACCGAATAACGGGAAGTACCGTTATATGGGGGTTACATGAAAACGTGGACCTATACATATAATGTTACCCCACTGGAGCTAGAATCCATTACGACTTACAAAGGTAAATTTTTAGACAAATCCGTGGAAAAATGTGGCAAAAATAATCAAAATACCGAATAACGGGAGGTACCGTTATATGGGGGTTACATGAAAACGTGGACCTATACATATAATGTTACCCCACTGGAGCTAGAATCCATTACGACTTACAAAGGTAAATTTTTAGACAAATCCGTGGAAAAATGTGGCAAAAATAATCAAAATACCGAATATCGGGAGGTACCGTTATATGGGGGCTATACCAAAACGTGGACCGATATATCCCATTTCCAATACCAACCATCCTAGGGACAATACACACACTTGTGCCAAATTTCAAAGGTCTACGTCAAATAATGTGGGCTCTATCGTGATTTCAACAGACAGACAGACGGACATTGCTAAATCGTCTTAGAATTTTATGCTGATTACGAATATATATACTTTATGGGGTCTACGACGAATATTTAGAGGTGTTACAAACGGAATGACAAAGTTAATATACCCTCCTACCCATGGTGGAGGGTATAAAAATTATGAAATTATAAGTTAAACCATAAAATTTTGGAGATTTCTCAAAATTGGAATTTCACAATATTTGTTTATAGAATGATGTACCAAATGGATTTTAAAAATGCGTACTATAAATCAAAAATAGCATCAGAAAACTGATATTATTTTGGAATTTTTGAAAAAAAAAACAGCCACTTCTCGCAGACTATAATTTATGTCACATAAGGGTTAACATAAGTTACTGTATCATTTAGCATTTATATGTGATGCGTTATTTTATGTTTCCATAATTGTAATTATGAAGGATCAGAAGTTAAAAGGCCTAAGAAATATACCTGCATGTTTTCTCATCCAGCCCATATGTGTATTTTTACATCCAATTACATTATTACATGACCACTAAAAGTCGATTAAAAAAGTAATTGTTTATCGACCTTAGACAAAAAATGTCATTATATGGAGACTTTTAATGACGAGAAAAATCTACTAATTTCGCGCGATATATTTTTATGCTTGATTATTATTACTATTTAGACTACTTATATTGCGGCTACCCCAGAAAATGATATATACAGGGTGAGATGAAAAAACTGCAACTAACTTCAGAATGCTGTCATTTCTAAGCCACTCGTCTGACAGCTGTTAAAATTATTCCAGAGACAGCTCATTATATTGTTTACAAGCGTACAAAAGAATTTATTGAGAATTTTCCAGAATAAAAGTTATTCGTGATGGAATTCAAGCGTGATAGTGTGATCTCTTTATATTTGGCTGGAAAACCACAATTGGCTATCGTTAGAGCACTCCAGCATTTAAATGTGAATAAATATTTCGTGTCTCGTACCATCGCTCGTTACAGTGATGCTGAAAGCGTAGCCCGACGTTAAGGAAGTGGACGGAAGAAAACAGCAACTTCAGCAGAAATTGTTCGAAAAGTAAAGAAGCGACTTGATCGAAACCCGCGTCGCAGTGGCTGAAAAATGGCTCGTGAGCTGAACATATCGCAATATTCCATTCGGCAAATATTGAAAAATGAGCTCAGGGTAAAGCCATTGAAATTCCAAAAAGTGCAAGAACTTACACCACAACAGAAAGAAACTAGACTCAAGAAAGCTAAAGAGTTGCTTCGCTTCGTCGAAAGTGGTGAACTGCCGAATTTGATTTTCATGGATGAGAAAATATTCGTTGTCCAGCAGTTTGTAAACAAACAAAATGATCGTGTTTACTTGCCAAAGAGGTCAGCTGAAAATGTGCACCGTTGGCCAATAGAACTCAAGCACCGGCAACGGTGATGGCCGATGGTCGCTCTCCGCTCGTATTAATCGACCGTGGCATCAGAATAAATGCCGAATATTATCGCGAAAATATTCTGGAGAGCGTATTAAAGCCTTGGGCACGCAAACATTTTGGCCGCATTCCACTTCCTTGACGAAGGGCTACGCTACACAAGACACAAAAGATTTATTCTGGAGTGCTTTTACGATAGCCTCTTTTGGTTTTCCAGCCAAATATATAGAAATCACACTATCACGTTTAAATTCCATCACGAATAACTTTATTGTCTGGAAAATTCTAACCAAAATGTTTTTGTACGCTTGTAAACAATATAATGAGCTATCACTGGAATAATTTTAACAGTTGTCGGACGAGTGGCTTAGAAATGACAGCAGTCTGAAATTGGTAGTAGTTTTTTTTATCTCACCCTGTAGGTCCACGTTTAGGTATGGCCCCCAAATAACTGGACCTCCCGATATTCGGTATTTTGATGATTTTAGCCACATATTCAATGGAATTGTCTTAAAATCCACACAACGAGTTCCCTCTGAGTATTTTACACCCTGGAAGAGAATTGTATATAAAGGTCCACGATATCGTATAGGCCCAATAAAACAATACCTCCCTCTATTCGATATTTTGATGTTTTTGCTACATTATTCACTGAAATTTTTTCACGTTTTGTTATTGAATATTTTAAAGGCCTATGACAAAAATGTCCTATCCATGTCCATGTCTTTGTATAGAACCCAATATAACGGTAACTCCCTATATTCGGCATATTTAACATTTCAACAGGATTTCTAACGGATTTTATTACTTTTTATTGAAAATGTTCAAATTCATTCCAAATGGTGGAGGGTATTCATACTCCCATAAAACTTTATTTTTAGGGAATAGTGTAAAAAAAGACATATTTTGGATAAGCATTTTGAAGCATTTTTTATTATACCCTACAACACTATGTGTTGGGGGTATTATAAGTTTGATTGGGCCAAAAATTATGTAACACCTCGAAATACTGGTTTCCCACATAGGAAAGTACATATGGATCTTCCTAGCTCGCCGAGCTGAGTCGATCTAGCTATGTATGTCCGTCTGTCCGTCTGTCCATGTTAATTTGTAATCACTCTACAGGTCGCAATTATGGCCCGATCCTAAAAAAATTTTGCACGAAGGTGGCGTTAGTGTCAGAATAGAAGCCTATTTCTTTTGGGGATGATCGCCAAATGTTTAGGGGTTGAAATGGACCAAATACTGAAAAAATGTCGGATTTTGCAGTAGCTATATTGGCAATTATAGACCAATCGACGCGGAATTTCGCATGTAGCTAGAGTATAGGCCGGGGAAGAAGCCTACCAAATTGGGTGGTCATCGGATAATATTTAGCGGGTAAAATATACCATATATTTTGTGTTGAAAAAATTCAAAATTTTTCATTAAACCGCGAATATTTTAAATCCCGGCGAAATCACAAAGCCATGACAAGTTTACTTCTGACCTTTACTTTGATGTTAAGATCCAACAAATCGAATATATAGCAAAATATGTGCGATATATATATGTCTATCAAAGAAGATATGTTTGAAAGATCTCATATATGTCGAGAATGGCTGAACTGATTTCGACAGTTCTCATTAATTCAGAATGGCCTCTTGATAGGAAAGAAAAAACGTCTAAAAGAACCGCATAAAAATATCTCTCTAAAGACGAAATAATTGATTTTGTAACATTTTATTATATTTTTTCAATTTTGCCATATTTTTGGCATATTTTCATTTTGAATTAAACATTTGTTGATATTTCTACAGCTAACAAAACTAAGTAGTTAGGATATCAGGATATCATATACAGATCGCATTTATGGCCCGATCCTTACGAAATTTTGCATGGAGATAAGATGAGGATCAGAATAGAAGCCTACTCTTTTTGGAGATGATCACCATATATTTAGGGGTTGAAATGGACCAAAAAACTGCAAAATTGTCAGGAGGTCGTAATTATCGCCCGATCCTCACGCACATTTGAATGGGGGTTACGGGACATTGCAAAAGCCAAGCAGTTTTGGATGGCCATCCAAAAATATTCAATGTGTGAAGGAGTTTGCCAACTTTTGTAGACAATATACGAAAATGTCCATTCCAGTGACTTTTTGGAGAATTCACAAATACAGGAAAGAAGCACATCTGACTATTTCGTTAATTAAATTGGAAATATATATAAACTGTATCGTTTATTATAGTGTTGTAGGGTATTCAACGGTCGGCCCCGCTCGACTGTAGCCTTTGCTTACATGTTTTTTTTTGTTTTTGATGACGTTAAATATCATTTTTCATAGTTGAACCCCAATGGCTAGAATAACTCCTTGTAAGAAACGGATTTTTCTCCCTTTCATAGTACAATTTCTTATTGTCACAAAATCACTGTCCATCCGAAATGATATGTTTAGCAACATTGTTCCCCAACATTGTCCTTTGGACGTACATATCAAATGTAATAATCAGTTTGGATACGCAACAGGATGTTTTACTACTTCACACAAGGAGTATGGTATTGGGGTATGGGTGCACCGTATGGATCTGTAACATCATGTATCCACGTGAATGTGTGTGTGTTTGTGCCACACAACACATATACAATTAACAACGCATGCTCTACAACAAACATTTGCGATTCGTTTGTGAATTTTCATTCTGTGTTTTACAAATGTCTATGGCTATGTGGGTGTGTGTGTGTGTGTGTGTGTGCGTGTACGTGTGCACGAATCCTCCTGCAGTGGTGTGTGTGCGTGTGTCTTACACCAATGAAGACAAACATTTTTGCTGATTTTGAATATAAAACGTTGTCGCTGAACGATTTCAACCTGAGTTATCTTTGCGTTGTCAGCCTGTTGCGTCGTTACACGCTCAAAACATTCGACCATTCAAAGAGTGGAAACACACAAAACGGCAAAACAAACAGTGAACAGGATTAACCAACAGTTAGAATTTTGAAAAAGAAACAGAAATTGCAAAATTAGTTTTCAAAAGTGCTTAACAAGGGTGAATTGAAAAGAAAGTTAGAAAGAAAAATTCCACTAAATAATATTGGAATTAAAGTGAACGTGATTTTGTGGAGAAAAACTTCGTTGCATTAAAACAGTGAAGGTGAATTTGTTTTTCAATTTTCTTGAGGTGAAAGTTTTTGAATTCAAAAATCTTTGATTTTAGTTTTTTCTTAAAAAAGAAATTAACAAAGAATTCCATTCCAGTGCTAATCTCTTGTGAATTTTAAAGCCTTCCAAAGGTATTTTTCAAAATTTAATTACAATTACAAAGCAATTCAAGTGATTTACATTTATTTCCAAAGAAAAAACAAGTGTAACAAAGTGAATAATCACCAAATTCCAATTTGAATCTGTAACGGTTGGGCGCCAAATCAAATCACATCAAATTCGCTTTGTAAGAGCGTCCCATTTTCATTTGCCAACGTTTTATTGGATTAATTTATAACCGCCATTTATTTGTAAGTATCGTAATTAAGATCTGGAAGTATTTTTCTTATTTTCGTCACACACGAAAATTTGTTTTCGTTCCTCTTTTTTTATTATTTCCATTTGGCTGATGATGGTCTCTTGTCTTCGTTGAAGTGCTGCGTAGGTTTTGTAATTTCTTAATTTGATGGATGGTCGGTTGTATGACTTTCTTTCATTCTTTCGTCAAGAAACAAAGTTCTTTCAATTACTTTTCGATGGACCCTTGGTTAGGGTGGGGGGGAAATTGAATGAGTTCCATGTAAATTATTGTATTTAATTTGCCTAATAGCCACCTGTGATTGGGAATGTAATGAAATGACTTGCACAAAGTAGTTAAGTGGCCAGAGCTGGTCTAATTTGTAGGAATATATTGGATTATTCTGAGAAAAGATCGCTTCCCGTAGATTAATAAAAGGCATATGTTTTATCTTACAAGGAAAAGTTATCTTAATTATCGGAAGACTCACAAAGTCCATACTAAAGAATGAGATGTTTTGCAATATTCCATATATTTACATTAAAATGAATGTTGAGTGCTGTAAAAGTTATTCAAATACAAAAAGGGATTTTCTGGGAACCTTCGTCTCCGTGCAAATAGAACACTCAAATAATAAAACCTTTAAATTTTAAAAAATTTTGATTTTTTTTTTAAATATCTCACTGAATTGGATTTTATTTGGTATTTTATTTTCTCAATAAAGGTCCACTTTTTGATCTGATAATAAAACCTTCGGATTTTTACAAATTTTGAGATTTGTTTAAATATCCCACCGAACTGGATTTAATTTGGTATTTAAGGGTTCCCAATAAAGATCCACTTTTTGATCCGAGTGCCATACAATGGTATCTTCAGATTTCCAGCACTTTAAAGGTCTTGGCCACAATATTCAATCGATATGGCTCGTGTTCGGTGTAGTGGTTGTGTTTTGATTGCCAGTATTTAGACCCTCCACCATACATGGTAAAAAGGGTATATTAAGTTCATTATTCCGCTGGTAACCCATCGAAATAATAATTTTAGACCTAATAAAGCATATTTATTCCTGATTAGCGTAAAATTCTAAGACGATTTAGACCTGTCCGTCCGTCCGTCCGTCTGTTGTAATCACGCCAGAGTCAAAACGAATTAAGATAGGAAGCTACAATTTTGCACAAATTAGTCTGTTGTCTGCAAGAAGGTCAAGTTCGAAGATGGGCTATATCGGTCCACGATATCGTATAGCCCCATATGACGGTACCATCCGATATTCGGTATTTTGATGATTTTAGAAATATTTTTAAATGGAATTGTCTGAAATTCTACACAAGGAGTTATTTGTGAGTACTTTAAACCCTGAAAGGGAATTGTCTATATAGCTCTACGATATTGTATATCCCCCATATAACGGTACCTCTCAATGTTCGGTACTTTGATGATTGTAGTCAAAATTTTTAATGAAATTATCTGAAAATCCACACAAGAAGATCTTTCTAAGCACTGTACCCCCTGGAAGAGAATTGTCTATATATGTACACGATATCGAATGGCCCCCATATAATGGTACACCCATATTCGCTATTTTTATGATTTTAGCGACATCTTTTTTTATCGAAATTTTCGTATTTAAAATTCGAAATGGTTACTACAGCCTATGACAAAAAATTGCGTAAGCAGGTCAACATCTTCACATAGCCCCTTTATAACGATACCTTCTGATATTCGGTATTTTGATGATTTTAAGAACATTGTTTACCGGAATTTTTTCCAACTTCGTATTAGAAGCTCGTACTAAAATATATGACGAAAAATTGTCTATGCAGGTCCAGGTCTTCGTATAACCTTCCTATGTTCCGTACCTTCCTATGTTCTGTATTTTGATTATTTTAGACACATTATTCACCAGAATTGTTTCTAATTTCGTATTTGAAGATCCTAATGGGCACTAGAGTCTGTGACAGAAAATTTTCTATGCAGGTCCAGGTCTTCGTATAGCCCCCATATAATAATTTACTTTTCAGCGGTATTTCTGACGGAATTTTTTGGACATTTTTCTAGTTCCATAAAAATAGTGGAGTGTATTAATAGTTTGGATTGGCCGAACTTAGCTGCTTTTATGCTTATTCAATATAGATTCATGTTTTGACATAAGCCTCATATAGGGGGCCCTGCCAAATTTGTAGGATATAAAAAATACGAAAATATGTGTGAAAAATGATTTTTTACTTTCAAGACCCCCTAAATTCGAAATTTTAACGAAATACTAACAAGTTATTTCTTGGACAGCAATAAATAGAAGGTATTCCTGAATACCCCAAAAAATACAGGATATTCTCCTTAAAACTTTGTTTAAACACTTTGACAAAAAACTTCAAGGTCAAAAGTCAAAGCGAGGCCGACTATATGATACCCTTCAACACTATGCGTATTCAGTAGAGCTTCCGTAACAAAAAAAGTTTATATTGGGAATTTATGCGAAGTAGATCATACCAACTATGAGCTAAATAACATTGCTACATAGAGCATGGTATGTTTTCGATAAGGTTTATATTAAAAAATATTTATTGGAGTAATAGGTATACCGGTAAACGGTAAAATTCGGTTGAATATTAAAAATATTTAAAAATATTGGGCTGATATTACATATATGGTGAGCAATAACCGTAAAATCGGATCAAGATGTATTTCGAGGCTGAACCGATCTCGATAAAATTTGACAGAGCTTTTCTCGAGCTGCATTTGATGTCCCGTTTCAAATATCATTGTTGTGGAGTGCATATTACGAATGTAAAAGACTTTAACAATTCATCGGGTGAAACATATATATGGGAGCTATAGCTATATCTGAACCGATTTTCTGTACTTGCTTCTAGATTGAATTCGGTCGGATGTGCCAAAATTTGTACTGATTTTGGTGCACAATACCGACATCGGTTGAAGATATACATATATGGGAGCTATATCTAATTTTGAACCGAATCTCAAGAATTTCAATTGGGTTCGTTCTTGGGCCAGACAAATATTGCTTGGAAAATTTCATCTCAATTAGAAAATAAATGCGAGCTGCAGTTTGTTTACAAAAATACAAGGACAGGCGGACACACTCAGAAAGTGATTCTATGAAGATCCTCAAAAGTAACTATAGGTCTCTATGTAACAAACAAATGCATAAAAATATAATAAGCCTTACCACTATGTGGAGTAGGGTATAAGAAAAAACATTAATTAAGAAATTATTTGTTTGGCCCAGCTCCTATATATATCTTTGCCCGATTTCAGGAATATTGTTCGTCAAATGTGTAATATTCGTCCAAATAGGATGTATTTCACCACGCCCGCCGAATTCAACGTAGTAGCATGTACTTTGAATTTGGTAAAAACCGTTTCAGATACATCCATAGTTTCCATATATATGTTTCATCCGATTTGGTGCTTAAGTCCCTCACAGTCTCAGTATTTTGGTATCAGATATCTCATGAAGTTTAGAAATTCTTCTGGCAAATTCTATCAAGATCAGTTTAGATTTGGATACCAAATATACCACCAAATGTGTAATATTAGCCCAAATGGGATGAATATTTTTAGAGATTACCAAATCTAGCCTAAATTATATAAATCGGTGAAGATTTAGCTTCCATACATATGTTTCATCCGATTATATATCTGGGTCACCCAAATCCATATTATACTCTCCACAACAAGGAATATCTGTACATTATATTAGATACATCCTAAAAATGCCTTAATCATGTTTTTCAATTCAATTCGAGAGATCACAGATACAATAAATTTACCTCAATCAAATTGAGTGGAAATCGATTCAAATTTAAACAGCTCTAAAGCCTTAATACGGAATTAATACTTAAATTTTCAATGTGATTGATCATTTGCTACAGACGACTCTACGAAATAGCTGCCCGAAAGCCATAATACGCATTCAAAGAAGGTTGGTATGATCTACTTCACATAAATTCCCAATATATATGTTAATTTGTTACGAGTAGCTCTACTAAATATGCATCCTATAGTCGGCACCTGGACCAGCACTTCAAAGTATCTCCCTTAGTAAAAGGCGGCATTTGTATTGTCTCGTGTCATTAAAAATTCTAGGAATAACAAAAAGATTTTGCATCATGAGCTTATAGCAATTATGATCAACAAATTAACCACATTTTTTTTTGAATATTAATTCCTTTGTGTAAATATTTACATCTCCTTCTTGGATACATCTCGTTTTTGTTATTCATATGAGAGGTATTGTGCTGGAATTTCCGTGAAAAAAATTTGTCATTTGTGCCCAAATGAAAACGAAAACAAATACATGTAAAACTTTTCAAATTCGTATATCAATGAAGAGTTTGCAAAGAACATATTACTTTTAATCAAACATTTATTCTTTTAATAATTCAAAAAGTAAAATGATAATACTTCAAATCGGACTTTGTCATTTTGGGAGAATTAAGTTGTTTGTGTCAAAGGAACTTAGAAAAGTTCACTTGCTACTCAAGGTATATTACATAAGGTATAAGTGGCAATTGGCTGTATTGTAAAATAGATATTCATTGCTTAAAAAGGGTCTGCCAAAGGATTTTAATATTAAACTCGTAATAGAAACGAAATATAAAATCCCAATTTGTTATATTTTACCAGTTTATATAATTTGAATGCACATATAAGTAATTATTTTTAAAATTTATTGAATTCAAGAAAAATGTTTGAGGATAAGTGTACCTCTTACACTGACAATTTATTTTAAATAACAAAAAAATTGTTTTTGTAAAAAAATGTTATTTTGTTGTTTGAAACTCGCTCGCGACCTGAAATTTTCGAAGAGTGGAAGTTTTATACGAAGTTTAAACGAAGTTTTTTTCACTCTTTTGCTTTGTGTGGGAGCGCCCGAACGTCACTCCTCTTTGAAAAATATGAGAGGGAGAAGAGTCACCCGATATATTATGAGAAATTGCTCTGAGTGTGAAATCGAGTGGAAAATTTTATTCTGTTTGCTGTGTGTAT